GCAGAAGCACAGACTGGGAGAGGATGTGATGAACGGGAACAGAAAGGTATTTTGCAGATGATTTTATAAAGAATTTTGCTCAAGGTGTATGTGCTTTGTAGCACAGAGCTGGGGGGTATGTGGATTAACATCTTTTTGATGGCATTCTTGGAGGTTTATAAAACTAAAATTTGTGCATTGTTCTTACAGCTCTGTGGCAGAGGAAGATCTCGATCCTTTYCTAAGGAATACAAAATTCCAGTATGAAGCTTTCCGAAGTAGCAGTAAGTCTGCCTTTYCTTATTCACCTCTTTAAATGTTAARGGAMAGAGGAGCACAGAGGCTGCTGCTTTTTCTAGATAAACAGATTATTTATATTTTTATACACAAATATAAAATGTGTATCTRTACAGTTACATGTATCTGTAATTAAAACATCTGATAGTTTTTTTTAATCTGGCAGATAGAAGTGGAAAGCCAGACCCTGTACTGAACACACAGATGTGTGTTTATTGCTTTCTTTAATCATCCCTTGGCAAAGTAATTAGAATCATAATAATGGGTAATTTTTTTTCCTAATGAAGTGCAAAAGGGAATTTGGCTGCCTGTACTTGAACATTTGCCCAACAGTKTAGAGGAAAACAATTTTATCTGTAAATTTTGATGACACTACGTAATAATCACTAAGTTGGGGGACTGATGGTAATTTTTGGAAAATACTGTGAGTAGTTTAGTTTTTTGGGGAGGAGAGCGTTGATTTTGAGGGTTTTTTTTACAAGTCTTCATACAAGTTCAGCTTACAGCTTATTCAATTCCTTTCTAGTTCTAATTAGGCAATTTCTTAGTAATACTGACTATTAATAAGCTACTGATGACTCTTTGAAGTGATGAAGTGCCTTTTCCAGTATTCTTGAAGTTTAAAGGGCCACCAAGCACAATGAAAGCTTAATTTAAAAGTTTACTTTTGCATACYGAGCCTGAAATTCAAGTACATTTACGAATTCAAAATACATTMTGGGTTTTTTTAAACAGGGCTTTCWTCTGATGCCACRGTGCTGACGCCCAACACRGAGAGCAGTTGTGACTTGATGACCAAAACCAAATCAGTGAGTGGGAATGATGACAGCACCTCCTTRGATTTAGAGTGGGAAGATGAAGAAGGTATTTATCCTGCATTTCAGTTTCACACTGAACTTACAATCTGACAATTTGAACTATGTTCATTGTAAATGTATCATTTTTTAAAGGAAAGGTGATTCAAAACTTTTTTTCTGATGGAATTTCTGACAAGTTTATGGTGATTAAAATGAAAATTACTTGATAAATGTGGAGATAATCCTAATAAATGAATTAATTTATTTGGATACTCCAGTAAATGTTTTTCCCTGCATTTTTGGGAGCTGACTTGTAAACTCCCAGCAAAARTAATGGTGAAGAAATGCTGCCCTCTCGTGAGCCAGGAGCAGAAGGAAGAGCTTGTTCTTCCTTTTMAAGTGTGGAAGTTGGTCAGGAGTCTGATTTAAGGATTTTGGGAAAACCCCTTATTACTTTTACTGTACTGGGAACTTAGACCTGCATTCCAGGGAATATCTCAGCTATCCACATCACTGCTGCTGTTTGTTACAGACATTTTCTGGTTTATTTACTAAAGCTGCAAAAGCTCTTATAAGTTTAATGTTTTAAACTTAGAAGTTTATCCAAAATGTTGAGACCTTGACTATTGAAATCACAAAAAACAAGCAAGGSTTTCTTTTAGCCAATGCGTAGTTGATTTTTTTCCTCCCACAAGGAAGTCTGTAAGTACTGATAAAATCTGGGATGTCTTTGGGCAGTTTTCAGAACCTTATTTTGTGTGGAATTAAATATCACTTTCCAAATGGATGACCTTTCCTAGATCAATGAATCCAGCATCTGTCCAAATTTTAGCTTTGTTTCTTCTAACAGAAACATAAAAATTAGATGAAAACTCACARCGACGTGTTTCTCATAAACATGTTTGAAATCCCAGGCATGAACAGGATGATTCCAATGAGGGAACGCTCCAAAACAGAGGAGGACATCCTGCGGGCAGCGCTGAAATTCAACAACAGGAAGACAGGGAGCCACCCAGCCTCAGCTTCTGACGATTCCAACGGGCTGGAGTGGGAGAATGACTTTGTCAGCGCCGAGATGGATGACAATGGAAACTCCGAGTACGCCGGTTTCGTCAATCCCGTGCTGGAATTGTCGGCCTCGGATGTCAGGCTGTCGGATTGTGACCACCAGGACAGATAGTGACGCTGTCTGCATGGCCCCTGCTTGTGACCAAATGCTGGAAAGGGAAATGGAATGTACAAAGCCAACTTGCTCTTTTGTAACCTGCTTCCCTTTTTCTTACACACGGATCGGCGAGGAATGGGAATGACTTGCTATCTGAATGAATTCAGAACTAAGTGCAATTTTATCATCTACCTTCTCCACTTTTGTGAAAACTGGGATGATTCTATTGTGTATATTTCTGGATATCTGGATTTAATATAAAATTATCTGCACTAATTGAAGCTTCATAGCTTGACTTATCTATAACTTGCCTTTTTTCTGGATGATGTTTCTATTGATTTTGTTTTGAGAGTCATCATTGGCCTAATATTTATCTCAGAAACAGTCTTATATAATTTATTTAATACTTGAATATAGAAAAATAACTCTTAAAATATTTTTATTTCCAGTCTGTGCTTTTTGACTTGCTCTTCAGCTGTTTAGAGGGTGTAAAAGTAAGAGCTTCAAAACAAATTTGACACATGGTAAATTGCAGATTTTCCCTGTCTAGCTTAAAGTCTTCCTAGCCTTGTGTTGTCCTTTTTCCATTTATTTTTTWAATCACTTTATGCTAAGCACGGTTAACCTCAATGAACATAGTAAAAATCATCAGGTTAGGTGAGTTATTGTCTTGTATAATATGCCCGATTTAGTGTGTGCTAGATAGAAGAACAGAAATAAAATAAAATATAAATTCTCTATGTGTCAATAAAACAGGAATTTTAACCAGTGCAGAACTGGGAGGACCAAAGTCTTGTTTTCCTAGCCCCCCCTGAACAGACCAACTTCTGTTGCTACGTGGTCCTTAAAATTCTTTAGCTGTGGAAAATTTATAATTTAAATGGACCAGAACAATTATGGAAAAGCAACATTCTGTGAGCAAACCGGGAGGGATGATGGCTCTGCTGTTGGGGTGGGAAGAACAAGAACCTAAAGACTGAATTTCTGTATCTGCATTTTGAAAAGAAAGAAGAGAAATCCATGTTTTTAACAATGTGTTTAAGTGCTGTACCTTTCCTGTGCCTCTGAGGTGGATGATTAATCCTGCTAGTACGGGCTGAAATCCAAGGAGGTGTTCAGTGACTGCACCACTGGTGTCTGTGCTGTGTGGTCTCCCCCAGTATTCCAGTAAATCATACTTTTTAACWAAAGAGAAACTGCAAAATACTTGCAGATCTCAAGCTTTCCCCAAAGTTCCAAAGTAAAGCCATTCTACTCATTATTTTATGTAGCTGTCTCATTTTTCCATTGAAAAAGGGTGACAGGGTTTAACTTTGTTTTGGAGTRAAAGGAACATGTTGTGATTAAGTAATAAAGCTGTACTGTCATCATCATTAGAACTAAATTTGTTGGTGCAAAAGTTGAAACTATTTGGAATATTTGAGACATTCCAGTGTGGGTAAGGAACAACAATACTGCACACCAGGATTAAATATGTAAAAATAACCTGGGAGAACAGTTAAATCCTGCTGATAACATTCCATCTCTTAATTTCAGTTGTAGCTATGTCACTGAAAATATTTTAATGCCATTATTTATGTTTGCAATACTTGTAATGAGCTTTAAAGATTTGTACACATTAAATGTGTATTTTGGGTTTGGCCTAAGCTACTGCTGTGTGACTTCTCCTGGACATTTCTTTGTACAATATATTCCTGYAGGAAGGAAGGCAGCTTCCTCAACATGTAAATAACGTGTTTTTTACCTGCTGACACTGTCACCTCCCCTGCACTGGTCACTATGTTCCCTGGRCAGTGAACATGAGGTGACCTTGTCCTGACCATGCCTTGAGGAAGTCAATTAGCTGATAGTCCTGCCCTTGGGATGAACAAGCACTTAGGAAAAAGGAGGCTGACTCCAGCTTTTTCTGTGATGGGCATATTCTGTAGCCATGGTTAATAATAACATTTGCAGTGCTCAGTGCACCGYGCTGAGTGACTTTGAAGTGATGCTCCATACTTGTGGATATTTAACAAACGGAGAGATTCTATAAACAGCTCATGTGAAACAATTCAAGGGTACTGTAAAATGCATATCTGTACAAATTTAAAAGTCATTAAAATTTTCAGCAAGTCTTACRTTTTGGCAGTGTTGTATCTGTTGCTGGGTTTGTGGCAGCCGTGTCAGAGTCCTGCTGAATCCCAGGGTCCCTTCTGGAGACCTGATGCCTTGGAAGGAAAGCCTTAAACAAGCTGAACTAACAGAGAACCTGAGGAATTTGGAGCATGGAGCCCTTCTCCCATTAGAAATGAGCAGCTGTACTCTCATACTTCAAAAGTAAATTAACCTTTCCTGTGTAAATTAACTTCTGCTGGGTGATCAACGTAGAGGTAGGAGGCGATTCATTTTTTAATGTGTATTTTAGACGGTCAATTCTTACCTCAGGTAAATAGAGTTGTAGAAATGATTGTTTGGAAACCACAGCTTAGTTCCAAGAAAACATGGCAACAAAGTAATTTTGTCAAGGATGAGATGAATAGATAAATCCTACATAAGCCTGTGTTTGTTTCATTGCCTCTCCCATGCCTTTCTCTCGCTTGTGGTTGGTTGCTTTAATTTCAGCTGTTCCTCCCCTTGGTTATAATTATGGTTTTCTTGGAATGATTAATGCTGAAATGCATCCTAATGTTTAGGGGTGCTAAAAGATGGGTAACTCCTATGTATGGTCTGATTCTTTCCAGTGTGTCTTTCAAGCAAACTAAAATACTTGACCAAAAAAAAAAAAAAGCCAAGTGCCAGTGAAAAGCTGAGACCCTGACAAAGAAAACCTTCACTGAAACAACCCGAGAAATGTTTAAAAGACAAGAAAATTAATAACCCTTTGGGTTATTAATAGAAAATAGAGATAGAAAAGTTTCTAGTTTTTAAGTCAATTATTACCTTGGAGCAATGGCACTTTTGGAAAGCCCAGAACAGTGCCAGTGACAATTGCTTACCTGGATGGTCCTGGAAATAATTTTATTCACCAAAAATTCTTTTACATTGCAGTTGTGTAAGGCAGCAAATCCTTACTAGGCAGCCAAACTATTTTATTACAAAATTTATCTGTATTTTTATAGACCATGATCATTGATGCTACATGTTTGTCTACATCACAAGCAAAAGCAGTTAATTTGCAAWATATATATGTTAATTAAATAAGTAAAAAAAAACGACAGAACCAAACCCTCCTCTGAAGTTAATGAAAACATAAAAGGACTCGGATGACCAAGTGTTTCTAAGTTGCAAAATCTGTGAAGCTGCAACGTAGGCTTGGAAATACTGACTGGAATTTCRTGTCAAAAGCAAAGCACAAAAGTATAACATGCAACAAGACATTGTGTGGCTACTTGGCTGGGACAAAACCCTGCTGTGCATGCTCTGTGTTAATGCCTGTTAAATACCCCCTCAAAGCACGTGGCCAGGGTTCTGGGATTGAACCTGCTGCTGTGGATTTGAGGYTCTGTCTCCCACACATTTCTGGGCATCAGTGAGCACTCATACCTTGGTGAAGGCAGCAGCAGGAATGTGGGACAATGTTCTGTGCTGAAAACACAAAGTAAGAAGACTGATGTGCAGCAGTCAGTGAGCACCACCAAGAGCACAGGACTGAGGTGACAGCCTTCTGTGTTGGAAGATGTGCGGGCTAAAAACCTAATCCAGCCTCCTTCTCCYCATTAGTACAGCTCATTTTCATCAATCTCTGTGGGACTTTTGTCTTGGGACAGAAAAAGGTTAGTGGAAATGCCATTCTCGGGTATAGGCTTCAAGGATGGCAGGGATGGCAGGCATCTTTCTTGTGAGATTGGTGCTTCAGCCAAATGCAAGTGAGTCTCAAAATAATCCATGGACTCCCCTTCTTGAATCTCAGCTAAGATCTGGTAATCCCCAAAACAAATGATGCACTTCCAGGGCAGGTCGGTTTTGTTCAAGTAACCCAGTTCTGTTTGGTTGACAGTCAGTTTTGTTTTCTTGCTCAAGTTCTTTATCTCAAAACAAKATTCCGAGGTGTGGAGTTTCCTGTAGAACTGCAGGGAGAACTGGATCCGGGASACACGAGTGTCCAACAAGTTGTAGTTGCAGATGTTGGGGTCACGGCCGAACTTGGCTGTTTCATCCGCCCTGACCTGCTCACGCTTACAGAAATTCAGGCAGCGGAACATCAACTTCTCATCCTGGCAAGGGTGGTAAAAGGTCAGGTGGAGGCACGTCACTGTTTCTTCTGTTTCGGCTTCCTCGAAAGAGGTCATGGTGAAAAGAGTCTTCAGAATGAGAAAATGGTAAAATCACAGCATGGAATCACTGTGGAAYCAAACAAAATTGTTTCAGTGTGGCATTAAAATACTTCCTGTGCTTCTGTGCACTCACTGTACAGAGCTTCTAGATAACTGGCTGACAATAAATGTGATGAAAGCACTGGAGCACAGAAGTGGGAGTTCAGAAGCCACGACTGACCATTGCTGCCAACAAGCTCTTCACGAGGATCGCACAGGCTTTGCAAGAATTGTGTCATTTAGCAGCAAGATTGACTYGAWGGACTTAAAATGGAGCAATAAATGRTGCTGCCYRGGCCTGTGTGCTCTGCTCTTGGTGTGAATAGAAGGTATCAAATGGCTTTTACTAACAGTCTGTCTGTAGGCAGAGATAATTCAAATAWATGTAAAGCATTCCTTTAGCTCTTGGGTTGGAACTGACCTCTTGCATRGAAAAAGTGTTCAGAAGCGACTGCTGCGAAAGCATAAAAAATGAAAGCAAAAGCTGGACTACCCACGAGACCTAAGAGGAACTGCCACCAACTCCAGCTATTTCCCCAYTGTCTGTTGGAAAATCCCAGCTCTCTGCTGCTGCAGAAGTGTTAAAGCTAAATGGCTTTTCTTGGGTTTGGTGGTTTTGTGTTGCTTTTTAAGTTTCTCACATGCAGCAAAGAGACCACACACTTATAACTAAATTCTATTCCAAAGCCTGAGGGGATGCAGTGCATCCTAATAAAATCTGAGACAGCTCAGGAAAAACTCTGTCACCTGGCTCTCTAAATGTCATCTTGGCCAGTGTCTTCTGCACTGAAACTGAGTGCAGAGAAAGAAAAGTCTTGCCACTTAAAAGCAGAAACCAGCAAATGAGTTCCCAGTTACTCASCAGAGAAACATGTGAACAGCCATTTAACTGGTATCATACAGTGCAGATGTTTGTCATGTTTCTCCATCCAGATTGCAGTAAGTTCCCAACGTGTCTCACACAGATCTGGAGCTCACCAGCTCCATTCAKAACTTTTGAGTAGGTGAATCATCACTGCAATTAAGTGATGATTGTGCTTTGTGATGATGGAGTTGACTTGTGTTTTTTAAAGCTCATTTACACGGCTGTATATAAACACCAAGCACAGTGAGTGGTGGTGTATTAGTGCATTATTGTCTAGGTGAAACCTCTAAAGTGCTTCCTTTGCACCTTTAACCCAAAGCCAGCAGCAGTTCTGACACAGCTCAGCAACYTCAGCTTGGTTTCTGAAGTAGGCTGCAACAGCACAGATGATRAGTGAAACACAGAATTTCCAGCACAGCTCACTTTAAAACACGCTAKGAAACATCATCTGTGCTGTTGGCAGGAATACAGAGAGAACAACCTGATAGCAGCTTATTCCTTTGCCATCTGTGAAACAAGCTGTGGTGGCATCATTATCAATCCCTCCTCCCTGTAGATTCCTCAGCTCTGGGGCGCTGGAAGCAGYTCTGTGGTGGATTGTGCCCGTGTCTCGTTCTGCCCTTCCCCTTGCACCAGTGAGGGGATATTACATGAGGTCATCTTTGGTGAAGGGGAAATCCACTGAGTACTTTCACTTAGCTCGCAGACCGCCTCASAGAGACGCTTTTCTGTTTCGAGACTTCAGTTTACATTTGTGAATTTTACAAATAGCTACACTTAGTAATGAACAAAGAACAGCCACCCATTGCCTCGGCAGCAGCCCCTGATGAACCTGGACCTCGGCAGCTCCCACAGACCCCGATTCAGATCCATGATCGCCTCAGGCAGCCCCAGTACTGCTGCCCAGTCCTGCCTTAAGGGTTTATCGAGGTTTAACACATTGAACAATATTTCACGTAAACGCTAAAGGAGTTTCTACTTACTAGAGCGTATTGGTCAGGAGAAGGAAACTTTCTGCAGTTAAATCCAGACTTCTCCCGCAGCTCTGAGGCAGCCCCTGCCCGGCTGGTTTACAGGGGYCAAACCCACCGTGATCTCACCTCATCCTCTCCCGTGGCGAGTGTCATTATCCCCACATCCCGAGGCAGAAGGACGAGCAGTACTAAGAASATGGGGTCCGAACCCGGCTCCACCTCTCTGCGCCACCTCCCACCCCACAGCACGGCGAGCCCGCCAGCTCCCTGGGCACTGCCCGGTGATCTATCCCGTTCCCTTCCTTCCCCTCACGGCCGCCTCCTCACCTGCCGGGAGCGGGGCTCCGGCGGCTCCTCACTCCCGGTAATTCCTCCGGTGATTCCTCCGGTGATTCCTCCCAGAGCCGGCGGGAAGCGCTGAGGCGGGAAGCTCTGAGGCGCTGAGGCGGGCGGAGCTGAGGCGGGACGAGCTGAGGGCACCGCCGCGCCGGAAATAGAACTTTCTTTAAAATAAAGGGTGAAAAAATAGTTAAATGATGTATTACACCCAATAACCCGAAAGAAATCGCCGCAGCTTTCTCCGGGGTTTACGTGTTGACAGCCGTGTCAGAGATCTGATCCACAGGTTCATGGGCTCAGGTATCAGAAAAAATAATTTCAGTTTTACCCCTCCAAATGAGGCGTTTGAGGATTAAAACGCCTTAGTAAGCGGCACACTATAAGCACGGCAGGGATCTGATGCCGTTCTTAAACTGGTTATTTTAAAATATTTGGTTGTTTACTTTAAGCAACCGCAGTTCAGCTTCATTGCACCGCCTTTGGGAAATAACCTAATCTTTCCCTGGCTGATGGTCTMAACTGATCTGCAAAGTTTCGCTTTTTCTTTCTTTTTTTTTTTTTTCCCCCCCTTTACAATCCTGAGGCAGCCTTGGATTTTTCCTTATCCAGYGGCTTGGTTTTTCATAGAAATCTGTATTACTCGCCAGCATAGAATAAGTGGCAAAGGAATTTTTTTCTTTCTTTTCACTCCAGATCCCAAATGTCCTCTCTTACCTGTGCCCGCACCGTGTTGAGACTGGCAAGTACTGAGGGTTTGGTTGTTTTGGCACGGGTGGTGAAATAACTCTGTTGGTTCATATAAGCTGTTTCCCACTTGTGGTTCTTTCTATATCTTCAACAAACAGGTGAATGACTCGTGGGTTGATAAGTTCCTTTGTAGTTCGTGAGGAAAAACTTTTATCTGTATGCAGTCCAATATATCTGTTCCATGGGCTCTTCTCCCTGACATCCGGGAAAAACAAAAAAAAAAAGGATTAAACTCTGTTTTGCAAGAGATCGTGTTGAAAAGCAGAGAAGGAAAACAGATTATTCCAACTTTCTCCCACAGATGAATGTGTTTTCTACAGTAGTCAGGGCTGGGCCTGTGTGCTCACACACACAAGAAAAAAAAAAAAAAGTACTTTATTGCCTTCCGGAAAAACCAGAGTTGTGCAATCTTGCTATTTATTGCATCTGCTGATGGTTATAATTCCTGTCAACCCTTTGTTTCTGGAAACAGCCTGATTCCCAGGTCATGAGAGAACTTTTCTGATAGGATTATTTTGATACTTGTACTTATTGAGGTATGTAAGGACCTTTCCTTTTTCTCGTGGGATTGTGTAACATCAAATAAGCTGCATATTCCTTATTGTTTTATGGTTTAAGTATAGCTCTGTGTGATTTTGTACAGGGGAGGGCAGGAACTGGATTTGCTACTTCTTTCTTCCGTAAGTCTCTAACCASTTGAAATGCTGCCAGCTTCAGGAAAACAACTCCAGGTTTGCCCTTTGTGAGGGAAAAAAAAAAATTGTAGGCACTCTGTGCCTGTGGGGTTTTTAGGTGATCTTCCTGCTTAAATTGTTCAGTGCTGTAGTTAGTTCATTCCAGTATTACAGTAACTTCTCTTTTTTAGTTGAATTTTTTTTGGTCGAAARCGAAACTGCAAGTAAATCTGTTGTTTGGGCTAATTTAATATTTGTAATGCCTAGGCTGGGAAACGGAGGTGATTTTGGTGTGACAGTGCATTGTTTTTCTGACAACTGATTCCTGTAACACCAGAGCCTAAACATGCAATTCTGGAAGAAATGAAACAATTTTAGGGGTTTTTACATTACTTTCAGTCATAACTGACTTAGAAAATATGAGTCAGTGAGGGRAAATAAGTTTCTTTCTCTTTCTGCGACGTTCATGGTAGGTCAGAATGGTTGGAGAAAGTACAGACTCTTAATGATCTGTTACTGGTCATGAGCTGGGAATGCTGTGATGACATTTCTTGGACACTTGGGGAAAATCTCATTTATAGTTCTGCCTCTGTTACTGCATAAAAGCCTTTCTGTGGACATTGGAGACCAGCAGCAGTCCAGACCAGTCTGAAACTTTCTGTTTGTCTCTGCTGTTTACATTAACATGAGGAAAGTACCCTCACCCTGCTGAATCAACAGCAAGTGTGGCCTGATTTTCGCAGTGCTGAGATTCCCACAGTTCTGTCCTTGCCTGCCAAGGTCAGATTTTACACCTGGTTATCAACAGCAAAAGCTCAGGTTTGCCAGTGGGTGCAGGTGTAAAGGGTGACAACAGCTGTAAATGTTGTGTGTGTGCAATTCCCGTGGTTTGTTGGTTATCAGGGTTCCCACTCACTGGCAAACAAACCACCAGCTTTTGTGSTTTCATCAGGTGAATATGAGAGCAGAAGCTGTGGCCTGGTGACACCTCTTATGCCAAGCATTGCAGTGAGTTTAAAKTGCATCAGGGGTTGATTTTGAGGCAGAAATCTGCAAAATGGTGCTTTTCTGCAGGGCTGGCTCTGGGCACAAGGGGACACTGAGCTATGSGCTCATGTTTCGTGTCACCCATGTGACAGATGTGACATGGTGAGCTCAGCAGAAAGCCCAAGAAGGGYGCACAGGTGAGTATTTGTCCCTCACCAGCCCTTCCATATTCCAGGCGTGTCTCCCCAGGCACATGAGCCCTGTTTGTTAACCTTTACAGCATTTAATGCCTCACTCGTGTCTTGTCACCTGTCATGGGCACGATGCTGCTGTACCCGCCCTGTCYCAGGGTGTGCTCTCCCGGGACAGCAAAGGGGTGACCTGAAATCGTCCTTCAGGGACGCTCGGAGTCACTGAGGAGGAGGTGAGTGAGAGCTAATTGATTTAGAGCCATAAAACCCAAAAGCTGCTATACAGCTTTTTCTCATCCTAAACCACCTGAGCACTCAGCGCCCAGGAGCAGGAGCCATTAGATGGCAGTGTGTGACCAGACATTGGAAGACATTTCTTATGGGACATTTTTGTGTTTTGTGGGTGTTAGTTGTTGGTTTGTGGGTTGTTGGTTTTTGTTTTGTTTTTTTTTTTTTTTTCCTTTTTTTTTTTTTTTTTTTAATCATAAATTTAATTTTGTTGTTGCAAGAACTTTTGAGGTACTTGTAAATTAATGGTAATAATGGCAGTGGTTATTCCAAGATTTGGGAAAGGCCTAATAGAGTGTGCAGCAACCTGTGAAGTTCTGCAGTGAGTTGTTGCTACTGCACAGTGACCAAGTGCTTTATGTTCAAAGAGAAAAAAAATAGGCCTTTCTCAGGGACAGGTGTACTGCAAAGATATCCCAGTGTGTTCCACTGGGTGTCACTGTGAGAGGGAAGAGAGAGGCATGGAGAGGATTTGTGTTCGCTGAACTTTTAGCTCCCCGTGCCCAAAACAGCTCCACTCCATAAGCAGAGAGGAGATATTCCAAAGGAGGGAGAGTGGATACGGTTCCCTCTGTTTATTTCTTTCTTTGCTCCTTGTTTACTCAGGAGAGAGAACTCTTGCATTTATCTTTTCACCTCACCTGACCTGAATTAAACTGCTGAGGAATCTCACCTTGGCTRCTTAAGAGAACTGTTCCTTACAACATGGACTTTGTTTATGTCACTTTCCAAGTTCTTATTTTCCTTCTACATCATGATCTGCCCTTGGTCCTCCCTAGGAGTCTCTCTGGCTTCTCCTTTTCTCTTCCTTCTTGCCTGCCTGCTATCTCAGTTCCTCTTCCCTCTTCCTGCTCCTCTTGCTTTCTGCTGTTCTTCCCTCTCACCATCCTCCTGATTGTTTTTCCTACTCCCTCTGTYGCTCCTTCCACCTTTTGTTTGTTTTTTCTCTGGATTCTTTCTCCCTCTGCCTGGATTCTCTCTTAATGAAGATAATGAAGAACTGCAAAAGAAAAAATTATTTGTGTAGCTATTTTGATGGGGAGGAGGTTGAACATTGTCTTCACCAGGCCCCACATTTTACTGTGGAGGGCGAATCTACTCTCTCTGCTTTGAAACCATTCAGACAGATACTTCCATGTGTACAGTGCAGGCTGAGCAGAGGGAACCCTTCCAGTTCTCTTCATTGAACAAAGAAAGTAACTGTGAAYAGTTAAAGCTGATATAAGATGTATTTTGCTGATACGTAGTAGGAGCAGAGATTATAGTGAGCTTTTTGTTGTTTTGGGAATTTTTTTCCTATAAATTTGTATTGATGTGAAGGTGTTGAAGATTCCACATTGTGTGGCCATAAAAACACAACTCCATTATCCCAGTTTATAGCATTTAAGGGCACCCAGCAGTGTGTGATGCAGCCTTGGAGGTACATACATGAGCATTTCTCTGTTTTTTTCTTTCAAGATAGACATGTCTGTGTCCCAGACTACTCAGGCAGCTTCCTTCCTACTCGGGAAAGCAGGTGCCTGGTTCATCTTCACCTTTGCTTGTTCTGGAAGCCCTCTCTTGGAGCAGTTGCTGTTTGTGGAGGTTTAGGAAAAAAAAAGATTTTTATAACTGTAGGCACATAAATTGGCACTGAGGGGTGGTGAAGGCAGCCAGGTGTCCCTTCCATCTTTGCAGCCCYTTGCCTGAGACTCCAGTCTGTCCCTGACAGAAACTCCTGGTGGGGGGAACAGTAGGATTTCACAGCACAGGGAGCATCAATTTATGKCTCTGTGTATGGTCTCACAAGGGAACACTGTTCAATAGGCTTCAAAGTGATTCAGCCCTGGCATAACCGTGGCTGTGGCCACATGTAATATAGCCTGTAGCTCTTTAAAGAGGATTAGCCTTAGATCAGGGACAGCATTCATTGCTGGATTTCATGTAAAGTAGAATATGCTAATGAAATGGAAATGTCTACTGCAAACATTGCATAATATTGGGAACCTCAAAATTGAGCATTGTGTCTTGATATCTCTGCTGGAAGCCAAACTTTCATAYTGTCGTTGTTATTTTGAGAAAAAATGAGGTTTGTAATGTCACCACAAGCTTTTTATAATAAATCAAGATGTAGTTTGCAGTTTTACAAGCAATGTTAAAAAGATAGCCATGAGCATTTGAAGGTAACTTTTCAGATATTGTTGAATGCTTTAATGATGTCGTAGTTCTTCAACAGAGACAAAACCCACCACGTCTTAAAATATCTTCATTTGGGTTTTGTGCAGCAGGCATAGGCTTTGTTTCATCCTGTGTTCTCTCCCCATCTGCCCATGCATTGCTTTAAACAGCATTTTTGGGTTTGCAGGAGTTTCACCATCAGTCCTTCAGAGACACGGTGTTTCTGACGTGCATTTTTGAGCCATTTCACCTTTTTAGGGCACCTTCTGCCTGTCCATCTGCCTCCACTGTCAGTCCAGTAAGGCTTCGTTTGGCTCCTCTATTTCACTTTTTTCGAGTCCTCAGAGTTCTTGAGGTTTAATATTGTACAGGTTGAAAAAAAGCTCCCAAACTTCAAGCTGCCCCACGATTCCACGTCGTAGCCTGTCAAAAAACCCATTCTCCCTGAATTTTTAAGCTCCACAGAAAATTTCTGAAGCTGCCTCACTGCCTGCTTTGGAAGTGTTCAGACCCGCTCCGGGTGCTTCCCTCCTCACACAAGGAATTCCTGCCAGCTCCAACTCACCAGCCCGGCCATGTGTGTCCATCGCACAGGGCTCGGTGCTCACTGACACCAAATATAAAACAGTGATGGACATTAAATACCCCGATGGGCCCTTTTGCCTTTGTGCACTTCAAGTGCCTCATCCCAGCCTGCTGGGGCATAAAAGTGCAAAGAAAGCCTTTGGGAAGAGAGTCCTTCTGGCTGCACTTCCAAAACGTGAGCTTTCATTGCTTAGCAGTTTTTTCTTTCCGTGCAGCTACATATCTCAGGATTTTGTTGTTTTGGGATTTATTTTCTAAGGTTTTTGTGTT